TTGCGCACGCTCCCAGACATCGACTCCACGTCCACCACAACGTCCGCCGCAAAGGTCACACCAACGTAGCACACCACCGACGTCCCGAAACCGGCGCTCACCTCCACCTCCACATGCACATCCCGCACGCACAAGTCGGCGTCGTCGGCGCTCGGTGGCTCGGGGACAGCGACGGGCAGGCACGCATCGCCGTGGCCGCCCTCAGCGCACGTGCAGGCGCAGCCATCACTCGAGACCGTCGTCGTGTACGCGGGGAAGCACGACGTCGCGAGGGCGCATGGATCGCTGCAGGTCAGAATCGTGGCGTTGTACACGGACGGGATGACGTAGTTCGCTTCCTCCCCGCCGTTCACAGTGTAGCACGCAGCCAAAATAGCTCCGTTTGTGAGATCGCTGGACCCCGTGGGTATCCGTAAAACTGTCGGCGTGCCCTTGCTGGACATGAATCGGTTGCCGGACACAGACACCACGGAGTCGCGGAGATTCACTTTGGAGGAGAAAAAAGCAAACTCATTCGATGGGGACACGCGGCAGAGGTTGTCGCTCAACTGCAGCCAGGAGTTGTAGTAGATGTAGGAAGAGTAGCTTGGAAAGAACACAGCCCAACTTCCCTGCATGTCATTGCCCTGAAACACAACCGCTGACCGAGACTCCACACGTAATGCCCGAAGAAATAACATGAAGTACCGCACCGGCCTCGTCACAACGTTGCCTCGGATCACCACGGCAGAGTCGTTCAGTACATCCAGCGATGAGAATTGGCCAGAACCCTCAAGATATATCAGCGTGCTGTTAGCGCCGTCCATATGAAACGTGTTGCCCACCACCGCAAACACGGAGTGCCACGACACCCTCAGCGAAGATTCAACAACGTGAATGGCGCTCGACGATGCCGTCACGGTCTGAAACACATTGCCACTGAGCACCACCGCGGAGTCATTGCTGATCGCCAGTCCATTCATCGCAACACACGACGGGCTGCCAACGTCCAAACCCGACCGAGGGATCAGCCTCGTGACCGTGAAGCGGTTCCCGCTGATCGTGATGTTCGTGCGCGGTGGAAACACACCCTCCGGGCTGAGCAGCGCGTCACTAAACGTGTTGCCTGTGACAACAATGTTAAGCGACCCCACAGCGGCGTCTGCGTTGCCCAACAGCAACAGCACAGCACCGTCCCTCCACGTGCATCCATCGAACGTAGCATTCACCACGTCGCCCGTCATCGCCCCTATCAGCACCGTCAGGCTCATGCCACCCCCGCTGAACGTCACGTTGCGGTAGCACAGCCACGACAGCCCGCCGCCCACTGCCTGCGCAACCTCGGGGTACACCATGTCGCTGATGCACGCACCAACCGACGGTGGGGGCGGCACTGGCGGCGTGGGCGGTGGCGGCGGACCAGCAGGCACAGGCGCCGGAACGCACACATCGCCGTGCCCTCCAGCAGCACACTGGCACTCGCAGTCAATGACCTCCGTCGTCAGCGGAGCAAAGCAGTCGCCCTCCTTCGTGCACTCCCCGCACGCAGCAACCGTCGTCACGTCGGTGATGCCGTGGAGCTCCAGTTCTGCCGCTGTCGTCAGCAAACGTCCCGCGACCGTCAGGCACCCGGCAAAAAACCGGTAGCTGGCGTCAACCCGCGATAGCAGGGACACCGACAACCCCGTCGAGCCCATCTTGCAGCCCGTCAGCGTCACCGCACTGCTGCCGCCAATGTCCAGAAAAGGGGACTCAGTGTCGTAGAAAATTGCACCCAATCCCACGTCGTTGTCGCGCCAATCCAACCAGCTTGACTGCTCAACGGTCCACAAGTCATAGTTACAGATGGCGTATTGCACGGAGCCGCTGTTCCCCACCACGCGCAGAACGCTGTGATCCGACACGCTCAATCCATGGTGCTGATACAGCAGGCTCGTCCCGGAGAACATCGTATTGTTGAGCAGCGCAAAAACAGAGTGGTCACTCACACTGAGACTGTACACGTAGAACAAGTGTGTGTATCCGCCAAAGCTGCAGTAACGTGCGTACAGCGAGCTGCCCTCCACCAGCGTCAGCGTTCTGATCGAGTACAAACCAAACGCATCACGATTCGTTGCATGCGCCTTGACGTTGCTGACCAAAAGCGAGGACGCACTCAACACGACCTTCCTCAGCATCACAACGCTCAAGGTGTCGATCCTAATGTCCGGCAGCTGGACTGCGGAAGACTGCACTGCGTCAACCTCCGTGACGGCAATGTCGCAGTGCTGCGGGAGGGCACGCATAAATGCAACGACGGAGGAACGCATCACCGTCTGGCTCACGCGGATCAGGACGCCGGCTGACTCGGCCGCCTCAGCACTCCCAACAAACCGCAGCACGGCACAGTCGCGGAATGTGCACCCGGTGAGCGTGATGTTGATGGGGAGATGCAGCGGCATACTGTTGAGGGAGAAAGTCAACACAGTACCCACACCGTTAAATGTCACACCAACGTAGCAGTGGTGCGTCTTCCACATGTTCAGCGTGATTTTCGTCAGCGTCTGGTTCACCACGCAGCTCGTGTCGCCGTCGACGGCTCTCTCCGGCAAGAGCGGCACAACAGTGTCGGGCACCTCGAATGGAAGACACGACGCGCCATGCCATCCTTCCTTGCAGCTGCACGAGCACGAGCCGCGGTCCACCGACTCCGTCCCGGGCATGTAGCACGCCGCGTCGTCGTTGCATGTGCCACACCTAAACATATCCACGTCCTCCGGAAACACGCCGTCGTACGACACCTCCTTCTCGCCCTGCAAGTTGCACCCCACCACAAATCGCGCGGGCGACCCCACAATCGTGTTCAACTGATGCAAATCAGCAAAGAAGTAACTATCGTCCACCTGACGGTTGTGTGCAAGCACCACGGTGGTGCCGCTGCCCGACAACCTAATTTTTTGCCAGGAATACGGAATACCTATTACTAAGGCTCCACTTACCCTGTTGCCCTCCACACGCCACTGCGCACCACCCTGAATTGTCACGGTGCCGTCCAAAAACACCAGCGCAGAATCAGAAAACTCCGCGCTGCCAACAAAGTTGCAGTCCGCCACTCTCAGCAGCCCCGCGGAGCTCACGACGGTATCCTCAAATAAATAAACACCATTGATCGCGCTCATCGTGTTGTTCTCCACGTCAATGTAGCCGCCGTTCCTCAAAACAGCGTAAACGCAAACGGATGATTCCACACCGTTATCCTCCTCCGTTGCCCTCAACGTATTTCCTTTCACAATGGTCCCGCCACCATCAACAACACCAATGGAGAAATACACTGCGTAACTACTTCCCTCAATGTTGTTGTCAAGCAGCAGCAGCGTCGTGTTCGCTCCAAGAGAAAACCCCAAAATAGCAATGGCATGGACCAAAGTCGTCACAAGCGTACTGCCCGCCACCAGTATCTGGGAGCTCGCACCAAAATCACCCTTAAACTCCAGCTCACCAGAATCCAACATCGAGGATTTCACGTTCACGTGCACTCGCGAACCACTCCCCTTGATCGACAGGCCCACGAGGACGCACTGCAGCAGCGTGATGTTGAGTGTCTGCTGTGGCGCGTCAAAATGCAACAGATCCAGCAAAATCGTAGCGGTGAAGGTCACGTTGACAAAGCACAGACCACGCACACCGGGATCAGGATCGTCCACGGAGCTGATCCTGCCACCGTGAACGCAGCGGGCCTCCGTGTCCTCCGCATCGGGGAGCGGGAGCGGCCCAAGACCGTCCGGAACCGCAGCTGGCAGACACGGGTCACCGTGGCCGCCAGCAGCACACACGCACTCACAGCCGCTGATGCTGCTCGTCCTCGCAGCGAAGCACACGGCGTCCACAGTGCACGCGCCACAGTCCAACACCGTCACGGGCGTCCCAATATTGAGGTCGACTCCGTAATCCGTCACAGGAGAGCCTCTTAGCTCGTTGCACATGCCGTAGATGGTCGGGTGCGTGTCGGATGGTGGTGACCACTTGCTTGTCATGCGTGCGATCGTCGACGAGTACGAGTCGTACGTGAAGTTGTTGTCAAGTATCGACCACACACTCTGATCGCGGAACGCCAAGCTGTTCTCCTTGGCCACGTACACAACGTAGGCGGTGCGAAACTCGTTGTTGCGGTGCACCAGCCAGCTGCCGCCAGCCACGGTCAGTGTGTTTGCCATAAGCATGGCGAAGCCAAGACGAAGAGCGGTGGACACAATCTGCAGCACGCTGCCGCCATCCACCGCAACGTCACCAAACACACACGCGCCTTCGTGGAATTTACTACTCGGCGCACTCCATGAGCTGTTCTGTATGGAGAACACGAGCCCGCGACAACACG